ATATACCAACAACACATCATATACCTATCATTTATGAATTTTTATACATTAGTGAAGTTTTGTCAACAAGCAGATGTGCTTTCGTGGTGAAGTATGGCGTTGCGCGCCTCTTTATCGTTTTCATCTATTCACCAGCAAACGGAGGTGAAAATCTCTTCTTCTTCCTTTTTTTTTCCGTTGTTTTCTCCTTATTTTGGCAGTTGACTTTTTGTATTGCTTATGCTGCTTAACGATTTTACTCTTTTAGTTTTTTCTACTGGAATTGTTAATGTTGGGAAAAATAAAGATGTGAACATGGATACCTATTTTTGTAAAGGTATTTGCCGAAGTTTGCTAACGGTTTTAGGTAATAATTGAAAAAAGGATAAAAGAAACAAAAAACAGAAAGGAATTTATGAGTTTTGCAGCTAGCAATATTCTAGAGCTCTCTTTGTTTTGTATTACTCTTTTATTTATTAATTATTGAAATAATTACGTCTTACGATGAATAATGAACCAATAGAGACAATCATGATAAGATATTAGATAGTTTTGATTAACTTTTTTTGTTAAATAGACATTTCATGCAACCAAAAGTAACTGAGATTGAAATTGTTGCGAAAATTTGTAACTGACAATAAGGATTAGAACAATTAATGGTTGAGTTGAGAAGACTGAAGTTTATTGTGCTATTATTTGAATCTAGAGAGAAATATTGCACAGTAGGAGGATTTGGTTATGAAGATGCAGAAATAGTACTTGAAGATCCATAGGACCTTGTTATTCTTGGCATCTATGGTTTTGGCACAAATATTTTTGGTCCTTAAGGTGGTTCTGAGTGATGTAAACTACAAAGGACAGAACTTAATTATCGCGCATATTTAGGACTGCAGCTGATATGGTTATTAAATGTGTGAATAGGATTCCATTTGGTTATTAAGTACGACTTTAGAATTTGCTTGGAGGTTGAAACAAGGTTAACTTGTTCGGTATGGGGAAGTATACAATTGCATTTATTTAAATGGGTCTTGCTTCATCTATTGAAGATTGCTGGGGAATCAATGTTCCCTATTGATTTATATCAGTGACTATATGGATGAAATCGATGAATCAATCAATCAACCGTACCTCAATCCAAACTAGTTGGGTTTCAGCTATATGAATCCTCTATATCCATGGCCAATTTGTTGTATGAATGAAAGTTAAAATAAAGTTTGAACAAGGCAGTGACAGATTGTTATGATCATGGGATGCGAGAAACCAGACCTTACCTTATCAATAAAGAAAAAAAAGGATGCAAGAAATCATAGGGAGAGTATATGAGACGTCTCTCACTATTAATTTTTTACCCAGAGTTGTGGGGATGGATGGGGGTGAAAAATGAAATAATCAACTCCTTTGATGAATTTCACCTCATCTTACAAAAGAAAAAAGAGGAGAAGCTAAAAAAAAGAAAATTAAGATATAAATGTGAGCCTCTTGCTTGCATATCATAGAAGTAGACTAGTCATAGTGCAATGTACTAGAGTGGTTCACTGTGCCAAGGAGTAAAATTGATTCAGTTATTTTACCTGTATGATACTACAAAACTGAATTGCTGCTTAGGAACTCTAATCCTATCATGCCTTGGTCTTTTACATCATCTCTTGCTTATCACTGGTCAGTATGTACTATATGAATTGTACTGGGCATGAAGGAATAGATGAGGGTTTTGTCATTTTTTTTTATTTAAAAAAAAGTAGGAAGCTCTACGGATGATGATATTATGGTGTAATTACTGACTTGTGTTTGTGTGCAGTTCTGCTTTGTGAGGCCCAAATGGAAGAAGAAGAGATTAGTGCTTATGACAGCTCATCGTGGACGGGGTCCTTCCTCCAGAATTGTCAGGTCAGTCTTGGATAACAGGAAGTCAAATATCAACGGTAATGGAGCAACTGAGCCTGCAAGGGTTCTTCTTGAGAGATTGTTTGCCCAGACCCAGAAACTAGAAGAACAGATGGGCAGAAATCCTTATCTTCCTCAGGTCGCTGAGCTGGGACTGGATCTTGGCGAATTGGAGTCTGATTTGCTGGATGCTCTTGCAGCCTTGAAGAAGAAGGAAGAAGATCTTCAAGATACAGAGAGAAAAATCTTGATGGAGTACAATGAAGTAAACCATGCAAAGTTGGAACTGGAGCAACGTGAGGAAGAGATTGCAGCTGCTAGTTCTAGGCAGGAAAAGCTGGAAGATGAGCTAAGGCAGGCTAATCTTACCTTAGCATCCCAAGCTGCTGAAATTGAGGATCTAAAGTTTCGTCTCAAGGAGAGAGATCAGGAGATATCTGCTGCACAAACAGCCCTAGATTCAAAAACAGATGAAATAAATAAAATGAAGGGTGAGTTGAAGAATAAAAGCGATGAAGCTGCTAACACTGAATCAGAACTCAGAGCTAAGGCTGAGCTACTTGATGCAGCAAATGAAGTAGTTCAAAGACAGGAGGTTGAACTACAAAAACTCCGAAGCAAAATTCAAGAGAAAGAGAAAGAGCTAGAAGACTTCTTGACGATGCAGAAAACTGAAGAAGAGAAACTTGAAGTTACCAAATCCAACTTGGAGAAGCAGGCAATGGATTGGCTCGTAGCAAAGCAAGAAATGAAGAAATTGGAAGAGGAAACATCTAAATATGGTGGAGAAGCAAATGAGGCCCTTGAGGATTTCAGAAGAGTGAAGAAGCTACTTGCTGATGTAAGGTCCGAGTTAGTCTCATCTCAGAGAGCTTTGACATCCTCTAGAGTGAAAATGGAGGAGCAGGAAAATCTATTAGAAGAGCGTCTCAGAGAGCTTGAAGAGCAAAGAAGAAGTGTTATGGCTTACATGACAAGTTTGAAAGAAGCTCAAATTGAGGTAGAGAGTGAGAAAGTGAAACTTACGGTTGCTGAGGCTCGAAACAGAGAACTTGAAAGGGATTTATCCATGGAAAAGCAGCTCATTGAGGAGTTGCAGAATGAATTGAATAATGAGAAGTCTTCTCTGCTAGTAGCTTTGAAGGAAAAATCTACTCTCCAAGAGGAGCTTGACCGTAAGAGGGCAGAGTTTGGAGAAACACAGGATCTTCTTCAGGTTAAAGAGTCAGAGCTAGTAGATGCTAGATTAGAGATTCAGCACTTGAAGTCTGAGTGTGCTTCTCTTCAGCTGATGTTGGAAGAAAAAGATAAGGAACTTCAGGATTCAAGAAAGACGTTAGATGAACTAAATCAGGAAATAGCTGAGCTGAGGGTGCTCATGAGCAGTCAAGAAGTGCAACTTATTCAGGCAACAACTATGTTGAAAGAAAAAGAGGAATCCATGCAGACAATGCAAGATGAGTTAAATGATACAAAAATGAAATATTCAGAAGCTGAGACCGTTGTGGAACGCATAGCAGACCTGACTAACAAACTGGTTATCTCTGTTAAGGATGACGTCTTGAGCCCACTCAGCCATGCTGATGAAACGTGGTCGTCTCAGCTGGTGGAGAAATCAACTGAGACTTTTAGGTGGCAAAAAAACCAGCTTGAGAATGAACTCGAGTTAACCAGAGAAAGCCTGAGGAGTAGAGAAATGGAAGCTCTTGCAGCACAAAGGGCTCTCAAACTCAAAGAGGAGGAGCTCAAAATGGTTCGTCAAAAATTAGATGATAGGGAGGAAGAAATAAATAAAATGAAGGAAATGACTCGAGATGCAGATGACCTGATGCAACTTTATGCTTTGGCACAGGAAAGAATAGGTGAAAAGAGTACTGGGGATCTGGCAATTGAAAAGCTCCAACTCGAGAGCGCTCAATTGGAAGTTGAAGCTGCTACTAGTGCTCTCCAGAAACTCACTGAACTGAGCCGTGAGCTTGTGAATAAAGCTAGTTTGAGCATCGAGGCTGACTACAATAACAGCCTTTTGTTGGGTGACAGCCCAGGAACTGCAGCAAATGTCGCTAGCAGTGGTGAGTGTCTTGCTAAAGTCTACACGGAAATGGCCCGGCTTTCAGCGTTGACTGAGCAGCTGGTGAAAGAAGCTGGCATTTTATGCCCCCAATAAAGTTTTATGAAATTAATGACAATTCTCTATACATGCCTCTTAACCATTTGCTTGCTATAGTCGCGATGAACTTAGAAAATTTGTTTGTTATGTTAGCTCTGTTGTACATTGGATTACGTCCCAAATACAAGTATTTTATTGTGCCTTGCTGGAACATTGGTGAGACTTCGTTTCGTTTCTCCTTTGAGATGATAGTGAGAATTGAGAGAAAGCATCATATTCTAGTGCCTTTTGTGTTTGATGCTTCTTTTGGTAAATTCATACGTAGAAATGGAGGGAGAAACAGTTTCAGGCTTTCAGCTTGTAAGACCATAGTCAGGGTATAAGTTTTTCTAAGGAGTTGCTATCTCATGAAAAGCCATTGGAAGATTAATATAATACTCAACTGAATGATCTTACTATTAGTTAGGAAGAAAAAATATTACTAATTTAAGAGTTGGTCAAACTTTTTAAATGAACTACAATTTTTTCACTAAAAATTGTGACGTATAATTCTTATATCTAGTTTATTTAAGCATGTAAAATTTTAGGAAAAGGAGTTGTTCCCTAGCCAGGCTGAATACAAAAGTTCATCCATGTGCATTTGAGAAAGAAAAAAAAAACCATAGAAAAAAATCAAGAACCATGCCAAGTGCACCTTGAGCAACTGGTCATTTTAGGTCAAACAAGATCACTTGAATATGCTTCTGCACAAGTTGTTTGGTAATTCCTAAAAATGTTTTAGAACTACCAAAAAGATTTTGCAATTACCACCACTCTACTGTTTAACTTGACAACTTTATTTAATGTATTATGACCAAAAAGAACTTGCATATTTTTAGTGATCCTTGCTAAAAGAATTCATTAGCAAGGGCCAAAACCCCAGACTACAAGATAAATGCAAGCCAGAGGACCACAAATTAGATGGATATACAAAGATGTGTTCAAACTAGATTGCCCATGAGTTCTTGTCATGTATATGCTGATGATATGAGGACTTAAACAAGGCATACTCACAACTGGCATATAATGGAGGAAGTATATATACATAAACATTAAAAGTTTATTTACAGCCATCCATCTATTTACAGATCTTTAAACACTTGTTTATCATAGAATTTTTGCATGCTCTAAGCAAAGGCTGCAAATAGGTTATCCAACTTCCAGTAGATGTTAGTGCGATCCTCTTAGCTTGGCATTGATAGAGACTAAGAACTACCTAGAGGTGGTTGTTACACTAGCCCCTTCTCTGAATATGATATTTGCCACCTTTGGTGGAAGCCATGTTGCATTACCAGCATTTTGAGCATCACCTTGTTGACCTTCAATGTGTATCACCGGGTTGCGCCCCTTCTTCACCTTTGATCTTCTGACTTTCTTCCCGACAAAAAGGCCAAGCTTCATTGCAGTAAATAGGCCTAATGCAACCAACAGTGGTCTAACAGCCCAGTGGAAGTCCTCAAGGTGTTGATACTTCTTCACAATACCAGGGCAAGTGTTAAAAGATATGATTTCGACTTCAGCTGGATCAGCCAAGAAGCTGCTATTTTCATCACCAAACACCAGAATACCAGGAAAGTTCACAACAAGACACCCATTAGGTAGCACCTGACAAATTCTACCTGTTGCCCAGTCACCACCTCTCTTTCGGGGCCATTCAAAGCGCGGACTGAAAATATCACGCTTCAGCGTTACAAACTGTCCAGCACAGTAAGCTTCTGCCATCTGGAGCTCGGAGCAGTTGCCCTTCCAAAAGGTCTCCAAACCTATGAATGCAACAGCTACACTTCCATCACGATCAATGGAGTGAAGTATGCCTACCGATGAATGTTTCTTGCCGTTCGTCTTCAAACGTACCCAATCTCCTGCAGCCAAGCCAAATGTCACCCGCTCCAATGTCGATCCATGAACTCTAAGAGGATCATGGATGCCATGCACCCTCACTAGCACAAATCCATTTCGTTCCATATCTCGTTCCATGCCAACAATGGTACCCCCTGGTACCTCCATGTTTTCAGGCTTACACGAGTTTGGTGGCTTCCTGGATCTCACAGTGTCTCCAATTTGATGCTGATCCTTTAGGACCAACCACTTGCTATAGCCACTTCCACTTAATTTGTCCAAGTTAACCCGACTCCCCGGGTCTCTCCATCCCTCATCGCCATAAGCTGCTTCCTGTGAACTGCAGAGTAGATTGAATAAATTTAAGTTTCAGCTAAGCATTAATAGAGTAGTCAAAGCAAAAAGCGCCAAAGTCTGTTCGAGCTTTAAGCGTAAAGCGCAATTAAATTGTAGGTTTTAGCGGAAAAAAGCACCAAGGAAGAAAAATGAAGAATAGAAATGCAATGTAAGAAAATCTAACTATAAACACCTACCGTAGAAGGAACTTTCAAGTAATTAAATAACCCTATTTTCATGCATTAAGCAAGAGACCATGCCTATCTAAAAATCTAGATGTTAACGATAAAGATCAAACTAGCATTCACTCTGCATCATGCCATGAAGGTTATGCCGTTACCACCTTCAAGATAAATGAAAAAATTTAACAAAGCTAATGATATGAATTCATTCCCGCCTCAAATAGCCCGGACAAACTATTAGCACATGTTCAAGTGTTTTTTCGTCATAAAATTTATGCATCACTCTCATTCCTTTTAAGCTTCCCGTCAGATTTAGGCAATTTCAGTAAGTTTCGGGGTTATATTTTACGAGTAATACATAAATTGACGCCTCTACTTGCACGGTTTTGCAAAGCTGGCCACCAGAGTTAAGAGTAGTCCCAACCAAGCACCTCTAGTAGGCCAAAACACATGTTTTAAACACCTCCACATGGTTTGAACAAGCGTTTGAATAAGATATGTAACTTCTTCATCAGATAAGATAATAAAAGAACACGTTAAATTTTACTTTAGTATTGGCATCTAACTATGATAACCATGCATTTGAATAAGATATGCAACTTCATTAGATAAGATTATAAAAAAACCTGCAGCATTTTAAAGGGGAAAGCTTAAACGAATTGATTGATTTGTGCCCCAAGACGAGAACAGGAGATTACTTCAACCATATGCTCAAACCGAACTATTTCTCCCAAAATTAGAATTGGCCACTAGGCACTTCCCCCTCCAATTTCTTCCCTTCTTCAACGCTCATTTCTACCCCAATAATCACATTCTTGACATTCCTGTATTTAGTGCTTATTAATGAGTTTAAGTTCTATGCACCGATGGTGTAAAATTTTGTTACACCATTAGGTCACTTATAAGATAATTATACGTATATTACTATGATAAGCATTAAATAGTAACTTAGGAAAAATGGTAACTAACCCACTAATAAAGATTAACCTACAGATAGCGTAAAAAATTATTATACGTAGTAAAATGAGCTTTTATTGATATGTACTACGCGAATGCCTGATATGTACACCAATTCTTTAGGTAAATTCTTTACAGCACTCCAATTTCATTTGCGCATGTATATCGGCTGTTCATGCCAGCTCTCTATTACTTATTATATCATAAGTTAATTATATCTGAACGTTGATGAATTTACTAGGCCAAACATCGTTCCAACTACCTAAGTCAAATACTTCTAACATCTGAATAACCTTTTAAAGAAAATCCTTTTAGAGTATCAGTTAACAGAGAGGAGCGTTAGATGAGTTTGTGCAAATGGATATCATAGTGTTCTTGGTTATATAATCATACTATGAAGTTGTAGCATCAACAATACTAAATGTTTTCTTACCATAGAGGAAACAAAAAAGAATTTCAGCATATGAGATTTCTAGCATTCTTTTTCCATACAAGTAGAATATATGGTTAATATTTTATGTAAATAATGGTAAATCTACAACCTTTATGATTAATGCTCCTTATATTCATAAGAGTTCCGTAGCAAGAATACTAATTATTTGAGAGTTGATTGCAGATGGAATCTGGCAAAGTTTAATAACTACTACTTCCCTTTTAATTTTTTTTTAAGTAAGGTAACAGTAACTTCCCTTGTATATTTTTAACAGCAATCATTATAATTCTGAATGATTAGTCTATGCCATTCCAGAGTAAAGAAGTATGAGCCAATTCCAAGGATTTTCTTATCAAGCCTTCACTGCATTTTTTTAACTACTCGTGCATAAGTTACCTTCATTGAATTTTCTTTTACTACTCTGTGTGTAGCTTCACCTTTAAGGCTATCCAACAACTTCGAGGTTACTAGATTTTCTTATATTTGTTTTCAGCATCTCTGTGTTTTTACTTCTTCTATTCTCTTGTCCAAATCCAAGTAAACAAAATGATACCAGAGACATTTAATATGAGTTTTATATCCATAATCAGTTAATAATAACATTTAAACTGCACCATCCTTATCATTGTTTCTGTCACAGAGAAGCCACTAACTAGCCAATAAGTTCCACAGTTGTTGGTTCATTATAAGCAAGTGATAATTAAAGTACCTGTCAAATCGTCCAGTATTGTGATCTTAACTCAAGTTCAAGTCCTTGATTGGCCTTAATATACAACTATCTATGTTTTTTCATAGGACTCAAATCCTTGCTCACTTCAACTGTCAAGTCCTCTTATCCTATTAAAACTAGTTTAACTACTGAAAAAAATGTCTAACGTCCATACTGGACAAATCGAGCATGGAGCAGAATAGAATCCTAATAAAACTAGTTAAACTTCTCAAAGAAATGTTTAACATCCATGCTGGACAAATCAAGCATGGAGCAGAACAGACTTCAGATAAATATTTTATGAGCACCTCCTAGAAACTGAGGATGCAGAATCAAATATGTGACATTTAGTATCTTTCCCAAGAATCAAATATGTGACATTTAGTAGCTTTCTCAAAACCCAAAAAGGCACAGGGAGGATCCGTTAACTAGTCCTGCTACATGGATGAACAATTACCCATTCTGTATACAGTTATAGCCTTCCAAAGAATCAAATATGTGACATTTAATAGCTTTCCCAAAACCCAAAAAGGCACGGGGAGGATCCGTCGGCTAGTCCTGCTCCATGGATGAACAACTACCCATTCTGTTTATGGTTTAACTAATCTGCTTTGGAGATAAAATATGATGAGTTTGATAAGCCCAAACTTTTTCTAGCCAAGGGCAAGAATACCTTTCACAGTTCCACACTGCACTAACTCCCCTCCCCCCCCCCAAAAAAAAAACCAAAAAACCAAAAAACAAAGAAAATAAAAGAGAAAGGTTCAAGTTAGAGCTTACTACAGGCTGTAGAACTTTAAGCAAGACATGCTGTTACTTCTTTTGTTTCTTTTAAGCAAATTCTAGTGGCCATATCAGATTCAAACCCCTAAACAGCCAGTTCTGTAACTTGATTCTTCTAGAAAAAGGAACATACAACAAAGCTAAAAGACAAAGGAGAGAAAATGGTTCATGTCAATTGCCTTCCAAAAGTAAAATAAATTAGATACCTTAGAAATGCATGCAATATGTCTCCCATCAGAGGGCGATTCCTGAAATCATACTCAAAACAACCAACTATGACACTTTCAACCGCAGGAGGGAGGCCTCCAGGAATATGTGGTCTCTCTTGTCTCTTTACAATAGATTTAAATATTTCATCAACTGATTTACCACTCCATGGCTGAGAACCAGTCAGCATCTCCACAATGCTGCAACCGAATCCCCATGAATCTGTCTCAAAAGATATGGGACCCCTAACTTCTGGCTGCCATTGTTCTGGAGCCATGTAATTTGGGGTGCCAAGTCTTCTTGACATATCTGAACTCAACAAAGGAACTCCAAGAAGCAGATAAGGAATCCCAATATCCCCCAAAACTGCATGATCATTTTCATTCAAAAGGAAATTATAAGGTTTAAGGTTAAGAATCAAGATCTCCTTCGAGTGTAGCTCCATTATCCCACGAGCAAGATCAGTCCCATACCTGTTACGATCACCAGAATGCATATGTCATTATATCATATTTTCCCATATGGACTGAAACTCAATTCTCAATAAAAAACACCAATATCACCTTATAACATCTCGCAAGGACAGCTTTCCTTCTTTTGCACGAGCCATTTTATCACCAACAGAACCTTCATAGAACTTCATAACAATGCATAGCTGCAGAAATGTTTAAAGTATTTCAGAAAGGTAGTAGAAACTTTGGCATTAACATCACCGCGAGAAAATGTTCACCTTTCCATTTATCACAGACAGCCCCTGAAGCCAGCAAATATGTTGTGGTTCTTGACACTGAGTAAACAAATTTCCCAGCCGATCTAAGACAACATTGATGTTCTCCTCCTTCATAGGATGCAACATCTTCACAGCTACTTCATGATACTCGTCATAATCTGCAGTGGTTTGGTGACGAGTTGCTAACCAAACATCCCCAAATAGACCCCTTCCAATTCTATGTCTAAGTTTAATAGTTGCAGGGTCAATCCATGGGCTACTCTGGCTAGAAGATGCCACAACAGTTGTAAGGTTATCGGAAACACCTTCAACAATCTCAAAGTCGAATGCAGATATTGGCTGCTTAACCACAGCTTTCCCAGCCATTCTCCTGTAATAAGAAGTCTAATTTTCTAAAGATAGGAATTCATGAAAAGAAGGCACATAGGAAACCACCACAGGAGTAAACTGAAGCTCCATATATATTAAGTTAGAGATCATCTCGTCAAAGGGATCAAATAGTAATTTCTGGAAGAGATATACATAATACAATCACATAACAAAGGTCAAACTTGTACTACAGTAGAGCAAGCAACTACATGTCTACTATATAAAATCTTATAGTGGAAGATGCTCAACCAGTAAAGCAGCTCTCATATAACCTCTCTTTTCTTTTTGGTGCTTGCTGAAACTTTAAAAAGACCTCCTAATTTTTCCCTCGCTCTAGACTTTAATAGAAGGGGAGCCTTGGCACAACGGTAAAAGTTGCCGCCATGTGAGCGGAAACAGCCTCTTGAAGAATACAAGGTAAAGCTGCGCATATAAGACCTAACGTGGTCCGACCCTCCTTGGATCCCGCGCATAGACCTTAATGCACCAGGCTGCCCTCTTTTTCTAGACTCTAACAGTTCTTGGATGCACGAGATAAAGGTCAACTCAGATAATCGCAGAGAAATACCAAATACACTCCTTCGGTATTTATTTTCCCACTTCTGAAGCATTTAGCCAGTGTTCACATTAAGAATTCTTCATAGCATTTGACAACAGCTATCGTTCAATCTAAAACTACTTGACAGATATATGAATCTATATCCACTCTATTCCATTTGGGTCCATTTATTCCACTACACCGCACTTCGTCCTTTTGGACAATATAGAGATTCTCTAAAAATCGGAATGGCCTAAATTTCACTCCTTCCCCTACACTGTCAAACAATTTCACCAAACTTAAGAGACTCCTCTCTACCATTGGACATGTAAGTGTGCCAATAATAGTAACCTTTCCTCCAGTTGGTACCTCCTATTGGGGTACCTTGTTTCCATGGTGTTCTTTTCTTCAAACAACGACAACAAACCGGTGTAATCCCATAAATGGGGTCTGGGTGTTCTGTTCTTCAAAATAAATATAAAATATATTTATATATATTTAAATTAGTTTTCACTTTCAATTTTATTTGGTATAATGATGGCATGAGTTGAGCTTAAATGCAGAAGTAAAGATTCATTTACCAACCGACCCCAATCTATGTGGAATTAAGGCATAGTTGTTGTTGTTGTTATAATAGGTTAGAACTTATAGTTTAAGTGAACCAGAAAATTAACCTATCCACCCCTTCCCCCCCCCCCCCCACCCACACACAAAAGGTAAAGTAAACGATGATTGTAACTGAAAAAGCACACAGTATCCTAACTGAGACACACCTCTCACTCCACACATGTTCAAAGAAAACTAAACAAAACTCATGATCAGATAAATAAAAAAGATTAATTATTTCAGCCCAAATTAATCAACTAGGAGACACCCAAAAAAGAAGGTCAAATAATAGACGATGAGAACAGGAAACCAAAAGGGTGTGACTTACTTGTTAACAGAAACAACCTGAAGCAGAAAAAAAGAAACTGTAGAAAGAGTCAACACAAGCTCAAAAACCGAACAAACAAGTTAAGAAATTTCGACGAATTCAAGTTAAGTTAAAACCCGATCATTTGCACTGAACCTGCAAAAAAAAGAAAATGGAAAAATGAATTGAATAGTAGGAGAAATAAAGAAAGAAGAAAACAGAAGAGAAGAAAAGGAAACCTTTGTCAAAAGATTGGTGAACGTGAATGTGGGAAGTTTTTGATAAATTTTGTTGCTTTTTTGTAGGGAATTTTTATTAGAGAGAGTTAAGAGTCAGCATATTGGGACTGATGTTGTGTCACGTCCATACGTTACGGTTGGTTCTTTTAAAGAACCTCAAGCTCCTGTACGTCATCTTCTAATTCCTTCAATCATAAAATGATGGAGAAAATTGGTTTTTTTTCTTTCTTTAGAAAGAAAATCTAGTAAACATTTAGGGATCGTTTGGTATGATTGATAAGTAAAATAATTTTAGGGTAAAAATTTAGTATCGTTTAATTTCTTATTTAATTATTAATTTTTGATAATTTATATCTATCAAAGGATAGAATAGTAATTTCAGGATAAACTATCTGAGTATAAAATAGTAAAATTGACAATTCTAGGATTAAGACAGTATACAAAACAGTCAATAAGAAATAATATCATGATAACTCACCTCAGTATAACTAATTCTAGCATAATTAATTCCAGCATAACTTATGTTCAATCCAAACGATCCCTTATTCTTTCGAAATAATTTCATAGGTTATAGTACGTTATATTTCTCAAATTTAAATACTTGGTTACTAAAAAATAATTTTTTTATAATTAAAAAAAATATTACATAAAATGAAAACGGTTCAAGCACTAAAAAGCAAAATGTATATACAAGCTCTTTATTGGAATAATAATGATATTTGTTAATTGATGTGACATACAAAAAGAAAAATAACACTTTTTGGTACGCGGGAAAACATTGCTAGGCGACACGTGTACTGGTTGTGTTGATAAGTTAAGGTTCGTCACAGGGTATCAGCAAAAGAATAAAAGAATTACCCCAAAGAAAAAAAAAAATTAAACAAAATGAAAACGTAGTGGTACACAAATTTTAACTTTTGCTCCAAGTCCAAAGATGTATTTTCATTCACCTTAGTTTTTACGTTTTGTCTATCTAATTTACCTATCTGAAACTAAAATTGACCTTTGGATGAAGACATATTTTGATAGTTCAATAAATTAAAAATAGTTTTATGGGCATAGATGAGACTTAATAGAAAGGTTAGAACACGGTTAATAATAATCACATGCTTATATAAACGTACGTATAACTAGTCCGTGTCAATAAGTAATTTGGAGTCGTGTGGTTGAAAAAAAATAGAAAAAAAGTACTCCCTGTTATGAAATATCATATTATATAGTGGATGTCTATAATTTCTAAAGAAGTTACTCCCACTACTCCTTACAATTATTGTTGTAACTCTCACACCTCCATAACCCCCTCCATGATCTTCCCCCATGATCTCAATAGTTAATACCATGTTCATGACATCCCTTTGTATTACCTAAATATCATCCTATAAATAGAGTGTTTGGGCATCACATTGTATACACTTGAAAAATACGTGGAAGAAATAAGAATCTCTCCTTTCTTTCTCTCTATATTCTTGTCTATTTGCTTGTTTCATATTATTACTTTGAGCTACGTTTCTTAACACGTTATCAGCACGAATCAGCCTCTATTGTTGCCTTCGAATTAAATTTGATTTTCTCCTTGAGATTGAACTGTTTGATTGTGCTGCTAATTGAAGTAAATCAGGTGATATGCTCCAATATAACTTTATCCCCTTTTTGGTTTGCTAACTCTTTTAAATTGTGTTTTTCTCTTCGGAATAAGGTGCTTATTTTGAAATTATACATTTTTATGTGAAATCTGCTTTAAGTTTTATTTGTGATAATGATCACTTCTATCAAACCATACGAAGCAGAATGATCATTTGTCTCATATATAAAGCAGAATCCAATCATAATATTTAGTTGATGCCTTAATGGTTTTAATTCATCAAAGAGAAAGTGACTCCACCTACCAGATTAATATGTTTAAAAATAAAATATAATTGTTAAACTTTTCTCTTTTTACATGGATCTCTGCCCAATAAAACTTTATGTATTAGCTACATGTTTTATTTTTAATCTTCACCAAGCATACGTTCAAAAGAATTTATTGATACAGTAGTTAGTTCTATTAGTCCATAAAAGATATTGCTAATATTGAGATTAATAGCTATTGAGACATGTTAACCAGTAACAATTAAGTCCAATTACCAAATATTTTGTCACTTTTAGTTTGATGTAAAATTTCGGTGTGATGATTAGTGTTTATTGAAATTTACTTTCTGAATTGTTTAAAACGGTTAGAAAATTTTCTTACGGTTCTAATATTGAAGATTACTTGTCTTCCTGGCTTCAATGCAATATCTGTTACTGATCACGCCCAACTATGCCTTATAAAAAGGACAATGCGGTCGCTGCAAATATAATCCGATTTACAAGTCCAGAGTCGAATCCCACAGAGAACTAAGGTTTAGCTACAGCTGTTCACTATCACCAAGAAGACAAGCTCGAACAATTCCTAACTTATAGATATTAAGATTCTTGTGTTTAACTAATTAACTAACAAATTAAAATAGTAAATTAACAACTAACGACACTGAGGGTTAGAGAAACGATTAAGGAGGTCTAGAGTTATGATTTTTCCAATTGTCGAAATCCTTCCCGCTATGTCTTCTATAATTTCGGCTAAGTATTCTCTACCGATCATGAGCACTCTTATTACCGTAAATCTCTCCCGAGTAATTACGACAATTTACTAGATGCACTTTCCCGAGCTACGCTAGCTGGCTTTTAATACAGCTCATTTCAGATCGCACCCAAGGCTTCGTTATCCCTAGTCCCACTTTTAAACCCTCGGTTATTGATCCCTCATATACTCTGGGAGTGGTGTTGTTTAACAATTACCTAAATATGCACTTTCTCCCGAGTTATGCATACTAAATAGGCACGGCTAATTGAGAGCTCATCAATCAACCAGAATATAAACGTAGTTGAACAAATAGAGAAAAGCTATGGCTCAATTATATAAAAACATAACAAGAATTTATCCTACAAAAGGTTCTATCAAAACTCTAGATAACAAATTAGCTATTCATAATAATATGTAAAACGACAATACTAAGAGTCATAACCAACAATGAAAAATAGGAAGAGGAAGGAAAAAACTCGTAGAAGAATTCTCCGCCTTGCTCCCAATGTGTTCTTGCCTTCAAGGGTGTTGTCTAACCCTAAATTAGTGTCTCTCCGCCTCCTTAGGTCTAATTTGTGTCCAAAATATGTCCTCTTCTGTTCTTGGCCGGCCTCCTTTGTTTAATATAGGGTTTAGGACTTAAAATCCCATGTTTTGCACTTTAGTCCCTGAAATTTTCGCTTCCTGCCGCGGTTTTGCCACGGTCGCGGTGGAACCGCGGCCAAACATGCCCTCTGATTCTTCAGTTGTCCGCGACCATCTTCTGCCGCGGTCGCGGCAAAACCGCGGTTTTTCACCCTATCCCGTTTGGTATTTGGAAAAACGTAAAACATGAAAGTTGTAGCCCTTTGAGTTATATTTCCAACCATATATTGCGGAACCCAAATGGAGTTCTGAGCAAAAAGTTATGTCTATTTTACTAGACAATGCGCAATATGCCTCCTCAAGTTTTCGTTCGTACTTAATTATCAAATGTGACCCCCGAACACGATCCCGGCTTAATTCCTTGAGCTTTTACTCAGACTTCAAAGCTTCAAATCACTTAAATTCATTCCATAACATCTATATAGCTCGGAATCACACCTACAAGGCATAAAACACACAATTAGTGCAAAACACTAGCGATTAAAGCGCAAACTCAATTAAAGTGCAGTAAATTCGAGTGTAATAAGCGACTAAAATATGCAATTATAGCCTATCATCAGTTACATACTTTCTTATTTTGACATATATATATCTCTTTTAATTATATTATTCATCTAGATTAATATTTTCACTGCTTGTGATGAAAATTAGGAAAAAATTAAAATCTTTCAATCACGGGCAACGAATGAAAATAACAGTTGATTTTGATAAGTTTACATATAGTATATTAGTGTATGCACGAGTATGTATTGGATCAAAGTTTCATTGATAATATTTCTTATCATTTTTAATTCACTTTATTTATTATGATAGTGTTTACTATGTTGAACTTACTAAAGTTTGAATTTATGGTTATGTAAATTTATGTTCCATTCCATGAAGTGAACGAGACAATTCGTGATAAATGTTATATAAGGATAAGACGGTGGATTCAAGTCCCAGCGTACTACGAGGGTAAGACATCATGTTTGGGTCCTGGTGCACCATGACTATAAGAGTTGGGTTTGAGTCCCACCATATTTTGGCCTAACATACCATTATGAGGGAAAGACATTGGGTTTGAGTTCCAATGCACCATATTGATGATATAATGATGACTAAAAAAATAATATGCTTTTCATGAAAAAGCATGAAGCTTGTCCCACTTGATATGCTCCATTCTTGAAGTGAATGTGATAGCGGCGCATAATAAGTCTAAATGAAGACAAGTGGTTGACCAATGAACATGGGCGTGCCAAAGACAATAATAATAGTCATCAATGGTAAATGTAAAAAAGGAGAACAGTAAGGGTTCTCAAAATAATCTTCCAAAGGTTAAGAAAATGTGTATCAGTGTGGTCTGTAAATATGAGACATGTTCGGATGATTATGGTCCATTCTTTGAAAATGTGACTTGTGATAAGCATTGTAAATGCACACTCATTCCTAAAAGTGAATATGAATATATATATATATATATATATATATATATATATGATAAAAATTGTGCATAAGAATGTGCTTATGCATGGTTGAATAAATACTACAACTTACCTCTAAGGGAGGTTTGAGAGAAATAAAGATAATGAATATATCATTGGTCGCGTACACGTGGTATGCCAAAACATATTTTGCCATGCCTTATAAAAAGTTACTAAAGGCAAAATTAAAGCAAGAAATGATTTTCTTATGATGATTTTGACCATGACAATTATTATGATATGATTTTCTCCGTGAAGGAGACATTCACCATATGGATGGTGTGACAAAAGATCTTGTAGTACAAAATCAAGTGTTCCAAAAGAAATAATTTGTTACTACCCAGATGAATGAAATTGTGCATGACATTGATATTGTAGTAAGTCTCAAAAGAAACTTTTTGA